TGTGTGGACAGGGGCAGTGGGACTTCCCTGCTCCTAGGTGACACGGCCCTGTCCCCCAGCCAACACACTCACCTTGCAGGCATTGCTGCCCAGCCTGGCACCATGGACATACCCATCACTCCGGGGGAGCTGCTGTGTCTGGGCTCCAGCCTCGCCTTCTCCAGCCTCTTCTACTACCTGTACAGGAAGAAAGCCAGAGTTGTGGCACGCATACAGGTAGCTCTGTCCCTCAGACCTTCTCTCCTGCCCACTGTCCCTTCCCGACTGCCCTACACCCTTTGATCTGAGTGTACATCACTGATGGCTGCAGCCTGCTGCATCCTCTGCCGATGTCATGACACGCAGGACCAAACAGGTCACATCCTGCCAAGATCTCCACAGAGCCATGCCTGGCCCACCTGCCCCTGCCTGTGCTCACACTTGGTCTGTGCTCTTCCAGGAGGCCCCAAAGCTCCAGGTTGATGACGATTTGCCAGCCCTGGTGTCTGCAGCTGAAGGGAGGTGCCTGCCTTATGTTGCCCTGGAAGGTAAGGACACCCCGTGACCCTTAACCAGGACAAAGAATGGGCTCTCCTCCTTCAGCCATGACACATCCCTTGTCCTTAGGCATAGTGCTGCCAGCCAAGGCTGTGCTGACCAGCCACTACCATGCAAGGCTGCAGGGTGTGATCCAGAAACTGCTGCTGAGGGAACATCGGCTCATCTGGAACAGCTTAGCCCGGAGCTGGTGAGTGATGGGAAGGGACTGCCGGGGTGGGCTTACACCAGTGGGCCCAAACCCTCATCCTCTGGGGCCACTTGACAGGCAGAAAGTAACTTTGTTAGACTTTAGTCTTTCATCTTGGCTCAACCCCAGGAGCTCAGAGCTCCTCTGTGTGTGGCCAGCAGGACCAGAGAAGTGACCATCCCCCTGTACTCAGCACTGGCGAGGCATCTTGAGTCCTGTGTTCAGTTCTGAGCCCCTCAATTCAGGACTGTTGTGGTTTAACCCCAGCCAGCAGCCCAGAACCACCCAGCCACTCACACTCCCTTCCAAGTACTAACTGGGAAGGACAATCGAGGTGCTGGAGTGAATCCAGAGAAGGGCAGTGTAGCTGGTGAGGGGTCTAGAGGGCAAGTCCCATGAGGAGCAGCGGAGGAAGCTGGGGGTGTTTAGCCTGGTGGAGGCTCAGGGGTGATCTTATCACCCTCTACAACTACGTGAAATGAGGTTGTAGCCAGGTGGAGGTTGGTCTCTTCTCCCAGGTAACTAGTGACAGGACAAGAGGACATAGCCTCAAGGTGAGGTTTAGTTGGACATTAGGATGAATTTCTTCAGAGAGAAGGTGGTTAGACACTGGAATGTGCTGCCCAGGAAGGTGGTGGAGTCACCGTCCTCAGAGGAGTTTAAGGAAGGACTGGATGTCGCACTTAGTGCCATGGTCTAGTTGACATGGTGGTGTTCGGTCATAGGTTGGACTCCATGACCTCAGAGGTCTTTTCCAACCAAATTGATTTTGTGATTCTGTTGTCCACATCCCCACACTCTCCCCTTGTAGGAGCGAGAGTGAGCGAGTGCTCTCGGAGCAGATCTATACCGTCCCCTTCCTGCTGGCCTCACCAGGCACCGAGGCAGCAA